AAACACAAACCCACCCTGCCAGGCAGCCCCAGCTCAGGCACTGCCCAAAGGAACGGCTGCTCCCATAACGCACCACATGACAGAGCAATCATTTCGTTTCTAATATATGCTTATTAATTCAAGAAAATTTAAGAAATGGGCCTTGCAACCAGCTCTGTCACAGCAGATTTACAGTTGACATAATGGGAGCAGCAGGGAAGCCACTGCAACAGACGAGCTTCAAATCTTACCAAAGTTTTGGAACATCTAATATTTTCCATTTAGACAAACAAGACGCTACAAAATCTTCTGGCTACTTCCGTATATTTAAGTTTTGAAGAGGAAAGGATCCCATCTGCATTCTCTTCATGAAAAACCCTGCCCCCATCACACAAAGGTGGCAGCGTTGCCGGCTCCATCAGGCCCCTGCTCACACCAAAACCACCAACTGGCACAAGAGGGGGAAAAGCCAGTTTTCACCTAAAGACGCGCATTTCTTGGTCTGGAGTCCAACTACACGGGCAGGTCCTTACAAACCCCCATCCGGGCCATGCTAAAGCCATGACTACAGTGTCAGGACTAGATACTCAAATCAATACAGCTTTCCAAAACTACATTTAGAAACAGAATCTTAGCCCTGCACCCTCCATTTAGCAGCATTTACCTTTGTTAGATTTCTTTAAAACTACATACACGGTGAGCATACATTAGATATATTTAAGCCAAAATAATTACAGTGCCTTACTGTGGGAGTTCCAAACGATTTCTAATGTTTGCAGTAATAATATTTACCCTGCACTGTAAAGACCCACAAAGACACAGTAAGATGATGGAAGGTTCAATTTCACAGCACAATTAATTACTATTTATCTTCAAAAAGATCACCGCAGGGCTTGTAAATGCTTTATATGGAAAAATAATAAATCCAAACCTCAACACAGCATGCTAGAAATTAGGTGAATTTGATTTGTCAGAGCCCACCTGCCTTGTTTTTCTGTGTATGCTTTGACTTTAAATTAATGATCCTCCGAAGGAAGCATTTGGAGCACATTTCACCAGTGATGCACAGCGCATCACTTAGAATATATTAAAGCAAATTTATACAGATAGCTGTTTAAATAGAATTTTGAGATTGATCCCTCTCAAAGCCGCGTTACTCCCAAAACACAATGTGTCTAACAGGAGTCAATCCTTCGTTAAGGGCACCTCACATAACTATGGATGAGCGAGTTTTATTAAGAACTTCCTAACATGACCAACATCCTAGCTTATAAAAACCACGGAACCTCAGAAGTTTTATGTTGATTCTCTTCTTTTTCTCCACAAGGATTAAACATGTGCAAGTAAAACAGAAGTTTGGCAAGTGCAGAGGGAACTACCATCAGGACTGTTCAAACTGCATTTAGGGAAGTTGATTATAACCGCCAAAAACTCAGATTTGCCCATCTGGTATTTACTTCCTGGCTTTATGGGAAGGAAAAAAAAAAAAAAGTAAAAAAGTAAAAATGCTCCGTTCTCTCTTTATATATGCCAACCTGACTTTCAGTGAACAATATGAAAAATACATTCAGGAAGAAAATAACCTAAGTTATACATCAGTGCTTATGCATTTGATTATAAAGAAATTTTCTCAGGGTTTGATGATCAATTTCAAGTAAAAGCATTATCAAAATTTGATCAATTCTTGATTCACTAATAGAAAAAAAAAAAAACTGATTATAAGGATTTTGATTCATTATGGACAGAAAAGCCTGGTTACATGACATTCTGAACAACAGAAATGAAGAGACCAATGCTTGTGCTGCTACATAATGAAAAATCTGGGAAAATAAATGATCAGTTCAGGTCCTTTGCCCACACCATGCAAACACAATCTTTAAGCTACCGTATCCTTACGAAAAACCTGCACTGCAGGGCACCAAAACACAGCTTTTCTAATGGCCACAGGGTAGAAACTCCACTCCCTGAACCATGAGACAGCTATTTCTGCGGCTCTGAGAATTCAAACTACAGGCAGTCAGCCTCCAACACCATTAAGCACAGAACTCTGACTTCAAACAGAAAAAAAAGGGCAAATCAAAGGGGAAACCTTCTGACAGAAAAATCCCCTATTTCAAATGCTTAAACCAAAGTAGCGAGGCTGAAGAAGCGAGGTCTGAAATTTGAGCTGGCATTTTTTCTTGGCGGTGGTGCAGTCGCAGACCTTGCAGCTACCCCGAGGTCGGACTGTCCCCAGGCTGCCTGCAGAAATCAGCTGGAAATACGTTAGTACTGTGCCTGGCTCCTCATCTCCTTCATGGGTCTTACTACCAATAGAACTTACAAGAATTCTTTCAATATCCTGGGCTATGATCTAATACAGCAATACTTGAAAAATCAGATAACCTTTAACAATTACTTGCTCTCACTTCAAATCGCCCAAGCAATCTTAAACCTCCGTTCTAGGCAGCTTTTCACAACGCAGATATTAACTGAAGAAGTAGAACAGCCCAAAAAGTAAGAATTCATGAAGAGGACATCTGCTGCCCCCTGCTGAAACCGAATCAAAACTTAAAACCATTTAACTTTTCTATGTTTAAAAAAAAAAAAAAAAAGGGCAAACAGGGTGAGAGCAGAGTTTCGGGTGCTGCCAGCGGGCCAGCTCGCCCCCAAACCTCAGCAGTGACATCGCGTAAGGTTACAGGAGCACGCAGCCACGGTGGAATATCCCGCTTGGACAATTTGGGGAACCTACATGGTTTACGTAACCCTGCGTAGTCTACAAAAGGTTTATTGTGCAAAGTTTGAGTTCGGATTGATGGTAACTCTGATGTCCCAGGTTTATTACCCCGTGTTTTTTAAACTGAACATATAGCAAACCCTACACAGCGAGCCTCACCCCGCAAAGCAAATACAAATACACCTTTGGACAAACCAAAGGTAGATTGCTGGTTCTCAAACGCTTGCTTCTCGGGGCAAACACAGATTTAGAACCTGCGGTGGGCTACGGCTCCAGTTTGATCTCGTGCTGGAGTGTAAACTCCCAAGAAATGTGGGAAATCACCCCTGGAAGTGGTTCTGCGTCACAAAATCTTGCGCTGACCCAAACTCGCGTTTGACTCGGGTACAGTTAAAAACTGCAAACCCACGGAGTCTTCAGGAGGTACCTGCTCGGTCCTGGAAATTAATTAGCTTGTAAAAAGTCAGACTTTACCAGTTCTTTGAAGTGAGAGTTTGGATGTAATAAGATAACAGCTGAGGCCATAAATATCAACTATAGTGGGAGTAAACCTACAGAGCAGAGAGCTGTGAGCAATGGTTAAATCACGGCCCTACCCAGGGACACAGACCATCCATCCACACTGCCACCGCTCGCGCGGGAGGGAGGGTTTGCCCTTGATCCTGAGCACCATATTTCAAGGAACTGGCGTGCTATTTTGCAGGGAATTATGATTCATTTGACTGCATTAACAATGTGTGTTGCGGAGTTTCCCATCTCCCCATCTTTCAATTCATTCATACACATTATTTTATAAAGAAATGCAAACGCTTTCTTCCCTGGTTCAATACATCATGATCTGCTCCTGAAAAAAAATCCTACACATAACTTATACAAGTTATTAAATATGAAAAAATGTTCAACAGTGAGTATGTCACTGTCATCCGCTGTTGCCCCCAATTAGTTCTGGTATAACCCTTTTAGCTTCAAGAGAAACCAGATTATAACTTGTCTGTCAAGGCTGAGGTTTATTTTGCGCAACATGTGTAATATCTGAGCCACCAATGTTGTAATTATCAAAATGATTACCCTATCAGTCAGCAGCTCATTTGGCCAGAAGACCTTTACATCTTTGTGCTGATTATGTACTTTCTGAAGCAAAGACAAATGGTAGTAACTAATACTAGGGCATCTGGGTATAAGGGCAAATAACTGTTGGAATACTCGGTATGCGTTGGGCCAGGCTAACGTCAAAAAAATGGAGACTCAATATGAATTAAATAATATTAGACTCACTTTTCTATTTTATTCTCTATTTAGAATGCGGCCAAAAAAATGATCTTTTGTTTGAGACTCAGTTATTTCCCCCTTCTTGTTGCTTTCCTGAAGGAAATCTTCACCATAGATCAGTGGGCAAGAACGGACTAGAGCATCACAAAGCTAACAGGAATGTTTAATTTCAGGTAGCTGAATGTCAACAGTGACCAGATCATAAGATCTCTATTTAGTCTCCACCACACGGAGTTCAGTTAAACTTGTTTGTACAAACATAACTCACCGAGTTTACAACTTGGGCAGCGTGATCAGAGAGCTTCATGCCTGAGGAGTGCCTGACGGGGTCTGGGGCAGCCGAGCACATTTCTCAGCCCTTGGCTGGTTTGATCGAGTCCGTGTGCCCGTGTAAAGTCGCATTAGAAACCACTTGAGATTCATTTGTTGCTGGGAGATAAGGTGCACCGATAAACCAGCTACCTTGTCATTTGGTGGCTTGATAAGTATGGACAAACCTTAGGATCGTCCCTCCTCCTCACTGGCGGTGTTTGTATTTCGTTTCTTTTCCCAAACGGCTGCGGATTTATCTCTGGGATATCACACTAGAAGGGGGCAGACAGCTAGCGGTTCCCTGGGCCATGGGATTAGGGAGCATAACCAGGCAGCCTCTGGGTCGATACACACAATTTGACAATGTAAAGAGTTCTTAAATGGTCTTGTAAGTGTGGTTCACTGTTCAAACATGTTCAAAGCCTGTAACCTTTGTGCCTGTGACCAATGGGTATGTTACTCATAGTCATTCCACCCACAGGCTTGGCACCGAACACCTTCATAAATGCTGTTTGCGTATTGCTGAGTGATAAAAGCCAGCGTATATTTGCACAGAGCTTTTACTTACTTTTCATAACACAAAGCTGCTTCTTCTCCTTCCTCTTCCTTACTCTTTGTGCTTCATCTCACGGAGGAAGAGAGGGATCTTCCTGACAAAAACTGGCTTCACGGGAGACAGGATTCCAGCTTTGAACTTTTGCTAGAGACCACCACGGCACAGATGGGGCTCCACAACACCAAACACCCCAAAGTCAAGCAAGCTAACATACTGATGTTAGGGCTTGATTCTGCGGGAAAATCCACACTGTTGTACAAGTTCAAGTATAACGATGTTTTTCTAACAATTCCAACCATTGGCTTTAATGTGGATATGATCGAAATCGAGAAAGATTTTACACTGACGTTTTGGGATGTTGGAGGACAAAAGAAAATGAGACCGGTGTGGTGCGATTTCCTGGAAAACACAGACGGACTGCTCTATGTTGTGGACAGCTCAGATAAGCAACGTCTGGAAGAATCAAAGAAAGAATTTGAATTCATTTTAAAGAACGAATTTCTAAAAAGCGTCCCAGTCGTCATGCTAGCGAACAAGCAGGATTTGCCTGGAGCTTTGAACGCTGAGGAAATAACCAGGAGATTCAACATGAAGAAGTACTGCAGTGACAGAAATTGGTATGTACAACCCTGTTGTGCCATCACAGGAGAAGGTTTGTCAGAAGCTCTCCAAAGACTAACTACATTTGCAAAACACTTCAGCAGATCAAAGGAGACTTTTACAATCTTTAAGGAAATTGAAACACTTTAAGAATTTCTATCATCAGATTCTGGTGAACGTTAATCAACAAATTTTGTTGGACAGACTAAATATGAAAATAGTGGATTCTGGAGAACTCTTATAAATATTTATAAAGAACTTCAGCAATATTAAATTATACTGTTATACCTGCAGATGCTTCTGAGATACTACTCTCCAGCATTTTATTAGTGATAGTATACTCGAGGTTATTCAGCTCAGAAGTGTGGCCGTTGAAAATGAAATGTTGAAAATGATGAAAAAGGTGGAATTGAGCTTCTTGAATTTTAGCAAGTGGAAACAAAATAGGTGAGCAGTGCTTAAAATGCTTAAATCATTTTGTCAAGATGTAAAATAGCCAAGCCGTTCGTTCAGCAAGAAAAGCAAGAGATAAAATGTTATTCCGTAATAAATGCTCCGTGGATGTATTTCTCATGTGAAAATGTAGTCGGTTTAGAGCTTAAATTCTTAGTTATGTACAAGAGAACCAATGAATCTGAAATACTTCTTGGATATTATTGCATTCTAGAGCTGATTACTCCAAGTAGGTTTTAACAAACAGGAGCTGCTCCTCATCAAGCCCCAGACAAAGCCGAGATCCGGTGCTGTGTGTGAGCTGCAGGTCTGATGTCCCTTTGTTACAGATTCCCATGTACCCATTTCTTGTTTCTGCACTCTTGGATCCTTGGCCACGAGCAGAGCGATGGAAGCCAGCACAGGATCAGTCCAGTCCACTGGTTTTGGGGCGGGGGATAAAG